GCCAGCTTTGTGCTGTAAAATTCTATAATTTTATTAATAATTTTATTAATCCACTTTACAGCATATCCTGTAACGCATTTCGAGACATCTCGAAGATATGTCAAAGAGCTATATCAGATGCAAGGATTATTGTTATTATTAACAACAACTTGAGAACCTAAAACCATCTTCTTCCCTCAATTAATACCACATAACCAACGTGGTGGTGATAAAGGACTCGGGAACCTGAGGATGCCAACTGCTCCTCTTCCATTGTGAATTTTTTCTGAGTTCACTAAATACAAATCATTGGCATACTTAGGGTAATAAATCCTTCAAAAAATATATCAACAACAACAACAAGATTCCATTTATAGAGCGCCTTTCACGCTCTATAATATCAATAATAATATGGTCACTCAATCCATGACTGTTTGTGGGACAATGCTGTGCGCAACTGGCTGCTACGTTTTGCCCACAAAATATACAATTAATTCACAGTACATTCTGTGAAGAGCTTTGAAGTGGTTCGGAGACATGATAAGGCGCTATAATGGAATGTAAGGCTTATATACACCAAGTGCTCTTGAGTACAGCAAGCAGCTCACCTGCAATGATACCAATCTGAACTTTCCTACTGCCAAAGGTTCTAATGACTGTCAGTTTGCTGCGAATTTCATGTTCATGCCTTGACTGCTTATTGTTATAACTCTGGTTTTGCATTGTCCAGAATTTGCCTGCTTGCTTTGTTTGGCTTCCATTGTATGTGTCGATGCTGTTTCGCCCACAAATACACAGTCAATCCACTTTAGAATATATCCTGTGAAGAGCTTGAGATGTCTCAACGATGTGACAACGACAGTCCAAAGTATGGGATTTCCCCCATAGACGTCTGTGGACCTTGCGAGTACGAAACTGGCTGGTGTAAAATTGACTGTGATTTTAGCCTTCAAAAACTAACCCCTTGTTACAATGAAAAGATCTGTCGTAGACTATGTGGATTCTTCATTGAAGGCACATTTCAAACTGCAAGTGCTGATATTAGTACTGAACATGATAGTAATTGTGAGTCATTTTCAATTCATTTCAACCTGACATAAGGGTATTAAAAATGGAACTTTTCTTTTCCTCTGTCTTTAATTGTTTCCTCTCCTGAGACAAACAGCGAGAACCAAATGCCTCACGGGGGAAGCATTGCATTCTGTAACCAAGATGGATCTCCTCCGCGCCCGGTTGACAAGGAGTGGACTTCAAGCCTGACTTGGGGATTTCAGATGTAGCCGGGAAGGAAGAAAGAACCTTCACTTTTACAGAACCCCATTCACATCAGGATGTCTTATAAAGCATTTTACGAGCCAAGACTCTGGAACTCTCTGCCTCAATCCCTCCGACTTGCCCCTCCTTGTCAGTCTTCAGATCACACCTGAAGACTATCCTCTTAAACCATGCCTAAAGTCACCTGCCCCTTCTCTCCTGCTCAGAGTCAAGCTCCTCCACTGTTAAGCACTCTGGCGAGACACTATTCCACATGAAGGGCACTATGTAAAGCAATGAATGTCAACTATTGAAGCAATTTTTTGCAGACCAACACAGCAGCTTTTTCTTTCCACTCAGCAATGTCCCAAGAACAGCCATGAGACGACTGACCAGGAGAAAGGCCCTCTTCTCTTTTTGAATAACCGCTAGTATGATAGCTGTACAGATCACGTCATGCTTCTGGTGGATATACAAAGGCGACTATCTCAAACAAATTAACCGAGAGATGAAACACATGAGCACTTTCACTTCCACAAACCCTGCAGGCATTTGACGTTACAAGTGATTACAAACAGTTCTGTAGTGCAATATGCTCAAAAGTCACTGTGTCAAAACTCAATATTTGAGCATATCTACACTTGACACAGATTATATCACCAACCCCACAGAGTACTTGATTTCAAATGCTTGTGGAGTCCTGTAGCTCAGTGGATAGAGCACTCGCTTTGCAAGTGATAGACCTGAGTTCAATTCCAGACAGGGCGAAACCTTGGGCAAGTTTCCTTACTCCACACGCCTAATAATAATCCCTCCAAAAAAAAACCAAAACAATAATTAAAAAATTGGTCATTTTCAATCTACGACTGTTTGTGGGACATTGCTGTGCGCAATTGGCTGCCGCGTTCGCCCACAAATATACAGTCAATTCATTTTACAGTGTGTTCTGTGAAGCGCTTTGGGACGTCCTCCCGACGTGAAAAGCGCTATATCAAATGCAAGGATTATTATTGTTGCTTTGAAACACTAAGCACAGGGGGAGTCGCAGGGACTCCAGAAAGGAGTATCAGAGACAGGGGGTAGAAAAGCTAAAAGCTCACCCACTGATGGTGGATATGGTCACTGCACTTTACAGTAAAACCTGTGAAACTCTTTTGAATCATCCTCCAAATGTGAAAGGCACTATATCAAATGAGAGGCACTATATCAAATGATAGGTTCATTATTATTTAACAGTACATCTGGTAATTCAATTTATTACTGTTTGCAGGACTTTGCTGGCAGAGATCAGTTGATCTTCTCACTACACTCCAAAGTAACTCACTGTGAAAAGAACTTTGAGAAATTTCAACCTGATAAAGCTCAATACAAAATTCAAGCATTAGTAAGTGAAACCAGAAGCCTCCCATCTGTCAGCTGTAAGTACATTTGCATGTGTCTGCCAGCAGCCTCACAGGACATGGATACGTGAGGACAGTGGGACAGTGGACAGTGAGCGACCAAAAATCAATTGCTTTATGAAAATACCTAAAGGAGTCACGATATTACTGCGACATTAAAGTGTATGTATTTCACCATTTGTCCAACAAGTCCAAAAACACGAACCTGCTTTTAATCACTTCAACAAACTGCACCCAAATGTACAATCCACAAACATCTATTCCCATGTTCCACAATTTAGCTATATTGTATGACTGATCATAAAACTAGTAGTCATGATAAGGAACCTTCACATGACTGTAATAACCCGCAGACCTAGGATCAAATTTCGTAATGTTTTGATATACATCGCTACGCGGCCAGCCACAGTGGATTCGAGACTGAAATGGGCCAACTAATGTTCCCTTGTCTATTGAGTATATGTGATTTAAATGAAATGTGCCACAGTGGAGTCGAGACTGAAATGGGCCAACTAATGTTCCCTTGTCTATTGAGTATATTTGATTTAAATGAAATGTAAACATTTGCTAAAAAAAGGAAAAATTATTTATCCGAGTGTATTTTTTAAGTGGAATGGACTTAGATTCAACTCTAAGCAACTGTCACGAGAGGCTTTAATTTCAAAGAAATAAAGAGTGAAAGAGATAAACATCTAAATGATGGTTCAAGCAATCCATTGGTAATCTGACACCCAATTGGCCATCGGTGTCCAACTGTGGAAGTGATTTAGTCAATACAAGTGAGTTCCAATTCCACGGTCCCCAGGGGCTGGCAGATCACAGCAATTTGCAATACCCGGGAGCAATCAAAGTGCACTTCTCACGTTCCTTGAGAGCACATTGCTTAACATAATAATGGCTCATTTGTACCCATTTCCAGGAAATTGGGCCTTTTCAATCCATTGTGTTCTTAAAACTTTGGTCAGCCCCATTGTACAATAACACTGTAAAGTACGATAGCTGTCCTCAACATGCATTTACCAAATTAAAGCATTAAGCAAAAAGCATTAGAAAAGCACCATGAAACAGCAGATCCTGCTGATTCATGCTGCTTTTCTATCTCAGCATGATTGTGATGTTAAATGGAGAGCGATGCTGTCCCAGTAATGACTTTAATGCAGCTCTAGCTTTTACATGTTCATGTTACACAGTTTGGCCACATGGAATTCTTTCGGTACTTTTTGGAGACATCTCAAAGTGGTTCAAGGATATACTGCAAAGTGCGTTGACAATGTGCATCTTAGGCAAACCTGGCAGCCAATTCGAGCACAGCAATCACAACAGGCGTGTTCCACACAGAACTGAGTGTGGCAAAATTATCAGAGCGCAGGCAAGACTCCAAAGTTCAGTGGTAAGGCAACTTTCTCTTGACGTTCTTCGGCCTCTGATACCTCCACATCGCTTCATCTCTGCATCACAGCTCAAAAATGTGAATCCACATAGCAGGTCTACCCAACTGCATAGGCTACAACAGGATCCCATACTCCACATAAATGCTTCTGCTTGCCTGTGGCCTCTATTTAAGTTCCTCTAACAGTTTAACAAACCAAGTCACTCGTGCATCCACCACAAGTTTTATTCAGTAAACTCACATAAGTCGTATCAGTCTGAACCATAACATTTAATACAACTTATACTTCAAGTCGTATAAAATGGGATTTCATCAATAATCTACACAGCGCATGCGTAGCCAGCGCAGCTGATAAGTGTAGTAGCGGCGTTACAAGTTGGGAGATGATTTGCTTCATGAAATACGACTAGTCCAAAGTGATTTCAGTGGTTTTAGGTAGGAAACTGAATGGGACTTGGGTGATGTACAACTTAGAAGATTATAAGATTTATAGAGACAAGACTTGTGTGAGTTTTATTATAATAGCACTGAGGCCACATGGCTTTAACGGACAGCACTGCTGCAAGCTAAACCGAAATGTTGACCACACTGATTTGTTTCTTTTAAATTCAGATAAAACAGGATGTTTTGGGGGCCTTGGTGTAATCAATGTCATTTTTTTTGTTAGTGTTACTTTTCTCTATTTCTAGTGGGAGTTCTTCCATTACAAAATAATTATTTAGGAATCCTCACTGTATCACATGCCCTCTTTCTGCGCGGGAGTGGCTCTGCTGCTGAGTTTAATGGCTTCAGAACAGCCCGAAGAAAGGAACTAGATCCACAGTCTCGATGATATACATGCATTACACAACATTCCCCTTACATCTCAACCGTACTGCACACACACACACAAAATACCTAGAATTCTGCAAACATCTTTCAAAACGCACTTTGTGTGTTAAAAAAAATCCACACAGAGTACTTAAAATCTTACCCACCTTCTTAAACTCAAGCACCGGTGTTTTGCTCAGAAACTCTGCTCTGTTGGAGGAAGAAGATAATGAATGCATTAAGGGATCCATTCTACAATACAGCAATTTATCAATATGCTGAAAGGCAAACTTTACATGAAATGATATGGTCCCATCTATACAAAGTAAAGTAAATCTGTATAGAAAAGTATAGAAAACTGGCATTAGGAACTCGACAGTTAGATCCTGAATTCTGCACTAATGTCCTGATTATATCTCTCACACACACACAGCCAACGGATTGAACAAGGGCAATCTTGGGAGAGGTCCCTATCCCACAGTACAATTTCCTGACCAACACATGCCATGGACAACTTCAGTTAGTTGGAATACAAATAGAAGGTTAATCTGAAAGAAGGAACCAGATCCATAGAATGATTGACAGATTAAATATTGAATGCAGTACCCTACTCATTGCTTCCGTTAAATCGCAATGATCTTGCCAACATCAAACCCAACTCTCTGGTGGTGAGAAGGTACCTCCTCTGTGACCACACAGTTTTTTTTAAAAAATCACGAAAAAGAACACTGCAAGCAATAAAAACATTCACTGATTAAATTTAAAATTCTTTGGTTTGCAAACAGTGTTCCATTTTTGAACCACTATACATTGAACTTTACTTATGGACAATCTGACGGTGGACCTGAATTCAGAGAAAACCCCAACTGTACACAACCCAAAATATAACTGAGGCACATTAGGTCTGCTTCGTGCCTGTACCTGTGATACAACTCATCTGTGCTGAGTGTGTTTGTTGCCTGCAACTCCTCACCCTCAGGCAGTCCCAGCAATTTAATCAGGAACACGACAGGAAAAAAACTCTATTAACAAACATGCGTAGGCCTACAGGATCAGTATATTGAAGGCAATGGTCGCAAGTTGCAAATTTATTTAGTAAACAAAGTAAAATTGGTCCGAACGTCAGAGAATCTCAGAAAAAATGTTAACATTAAAAAAAGCTGAATAAAGTAACAACTGGTTTCAATATAATCGAGGACGATTATGCGAGATGCGATTAGGAACTACTGTATTACTACTGATAGTACATTAGATGTAAAGGAGGAAGATAAAAGGAGCGCATATCAGCAGCTTGCTCTGAAAAAAGTCTAGGCTAACACTCCAGTGCACAGTGCGCTGTCGGTGGGGCTCGCTTTCGGATGAGACTTTAAACAAAGATTCCATGAAACTACTTGAAAAGAGAAAGGGGCTTCTCCCAGTGCCTTGGGCAACCACCCCCAGGTAAAATTGGCGTAGCCACAAGCACAAAGCGTGCAAAAATATACAGTCAATTCACTTTCCAGTATATTCTGTGAAGTCTTTTGGGACTTCTCAAAGACATGATAAGGCGATATATCAAATGCAAGGATTATCATTATTATTAAGAAGCCAGTTTGTCAGCCACAACCACTCAAGAATTTTTGGTACTAGAAAGCTCAGGAAACCAATGACTGCTAACTGATCTGCTTCCTCCTCGTCACTATTCTCCCTTTAAGAGCAGTGGTGGCCAACCTTTTTCCCGCAGCCGGAAGTGAACCATGGGGCCGTTGACAAGCAGCGCTCCCCCTGAACATTTATAGCATAACTCAAGAAATATTCAATCAAGCAAATTTATTTTGTTGGCCTACCATAAAGGTTGGCCACCAATGCTTTTACAGTTTATGTGGCATGCAACAAGGTACTTGAAACTAAGGCTAAATCAATCAGTTAGTAAGTTAGTCAATCTGTTTAAAACCTGATCCTGATTTATGGATACGTTTTAAATTTAAGCTATCAAAGTTCCAAATCTGAATAACTAAATTATTCATTTGCTGCAAAACATACAGCACTTAAATAATTTAAAATCGGTTTTCCGGAGCATGTTTTTATTTTGTTTTTAAAGTTCTATGGATTATACAGAATACACATTAATACCACCGACAATGCTAATAAAACTCTCCTGAGCTGACACTGACTGAGATACGCCAAGTAACCATGTTCCTCAGTGAGTCCGAGAAGCGGGTGTTAGCAGACTAACCCTGAAGCTTTTCTCAAACATCAACAACAAAGGTACACTTTCAGGCAGGATCACTGGATACTAGCGAGAATTGTGGCTGAATTACTCCCCTGGCCACTAACTGTGCTACACCAGCTCTGGCCTGCTTCATGCCCCCCACCCCTCCCCTTTGGGCTCATAAGTCCATAAGGCGTAGGAGCAGGAGTAGGCCATTCGGCCCCTCGAGCCTGCCCCGCCATTTAATAAGATTATGACTGATCTTCTAACCTAATTCCATTTACCCGCCCTATCCCCATATCCCTTAATCCCTCTATCCTTTAGAAATCTATCAACCTCAGTCTTGAATCTGTTCAAGGACTGAACATCCACAGCCTTCTGGGGTAGAGATTTCCACAAATCCACTACCGTTTGAGTGAAGAAATGTTTCAACTCAGTTCGAAAAGGCTGACCCTTAATCTTGAGACTATGACTCCTAGTTTTAGATTCTCCAACCAGGAGAAACAGTCTCATGGCATCTACCCTGTTAAGACCCTTAAGAATCTTATAGGTTTCTATAAGATCACCTCTAATTCTTCTATATTCTAGAGAATATAGGCCTAGTTACTCAACTTATCCTCACAGGTAAATCCCCTCATCCCAGGAACCAACCTATTGAATCTACTCTGCACCCCCTCTAAGGCGAGTATGTCCTTAAATATGGAAACCAAAACTGCATACAATATTCTAGGTGGGGTCTCACCAAGGCCTTATACAACTGCAGCAAGACTTCCCTACTCTTGTACTCTAACCCTTTTGCAACGAACGCCAACATGGCATTAGCCTTCCTAGTTGCTTGCTGTGCCTGCAAACTAACTTTTTGTGACTGGTATACAAGGACACCCAAATCCCTCTGAACACTAACACTACCTAGTCTCTTCCCCCTCTAGAAAATAATCCGCTTTTCTATTTTAATACCTAGGTGAATAACTTCACACTTCCCCAAGTTATACTCCATCTACCACCTTCTTACCCACTCACCTAGCCTGTCTATTTCCCTTTGCATTCTTCGTGTGTCATCCTCACAGTTTACTCTCCCACCTATCTTCGTATCGTAAGCTTTAAGCTACTTTGCCCTCCATCCTCTAGAACTGTCTTCCAAAAATTCTTCCACCTTACCCCCCCCTTTCAGTTTTCAAAACCCATCTAAATACCCATATCTTTGAATATGCCTTCGACCCCTTGACCCCCCAATCCTCAACCATTTGCTCCTCCCCCCTCTGCCCCCGCTCCAACCTGCTCCAGGCTTCGGGACCACATCACTCCCACCCTCGCTCGCCTCCACTGGCTCCCCATCCCCCAGAGGATCGAATTCAAGATCCTCATCCTCACCTACAAGGCCATTCACGGCCTTGCCCTCTCCTACCTCTCCGATCTACTATCTCCTACCTACCTGCCCGTACCCTCCGTTCCTCTGGCTCTGGTCTGCTCCACATCCCCCGCCCCAACCGCCCTACCATTGGTGCCCGGACCTTCAGCCTTTCAGCCCCGAGGCTCTGGAACTCTATCCCCCAGTGCCTTTGCCTTGCCTCCTCCCTTTCCTCCTTCAAGGCCGGTCTCAAGACCTTTCTCTTTGACCGTGCCTTCAGCTCCCCTCTCGACTCTCTACCCCCTCCTCGCTCCCTCCCTTCCCTCCCCTCACCCTGACCATTTCCCCCCTGCTCGGATCCCGACCCAACTGTCCAGCGCCTTGGGACGTCCTCCCGACGTGAAAGACGCTCTATAAATGGAATCTTGTTGTTGTTGCTCAGTCTTTTGTAAAGTGTTTCAAAGCAAACATCCTACTTGAAGGGCACAATGTGTATAAATTGCTGCCCCCCCACCAATCCCCTCTCTTTGTCTCCAGCAAATTGGTGTCTAGTCAGCTGAGCACAACACTGGCTGGTTCCTTCAAAGTATTCTCAAATCAACAAGTATTTATTCAGATTCTGCCCCTTGCTTAGTTCTCCCTGCAATCTACACACCAGCCCCAGGCCAGCAGGGTATATGGGCAGCCTGCCTGGGGCTCCTCCGACAATGCCTTTTTCTTTAAAACAGCTATAGAACAAGCTTGGTGTCACTGGGCAATTTGATTTATCTCGCGTTTCAACCCTGGTGGTTCCTGCACAGTGGGCTTTGGCTCTTCACCAAAGGTATGTTCAGTAAAGCAAGAGTGTGTGACCTGCATCAAGATTTCCCTGCGATTGCCTACTCCCTCCATGTGAAGCGACGCTTCATTTCCATTCAGTGCCTCCCCTTGATATTTCTACTGTTTGAGGCGGTAACATAACAGACCAAGCCTGCAGTGTGGAGACCAAGTGCAGGCTGCAGTGTAGTGCAACACGGCTTATCAAGTATGGGGGTGGGGGAGTGTCATAAAATACAACCAGTTTATAAAACGGGGCACTTTTTGCTCGCACTCATTTTCTGAGGTACCGAGATCATCACTGACATTGCAAGCATAACCAGACTAGGAAGCCAGCTAGACAGGAAGAGCTTGCAACCACAGTTCCATTGAGTAACTGCAATACATCTGAACCAGACTACTGAAACACATTTTCATGCTGAAACGCAAGACTGCACTCATGTTTTGTAGCGCCCTAGATTATCTTTGCCTCCAACGCTTAGGATTTTTTAAAAAAAATTCCCCAGATTGTGACAGTAAGTATATAATGCCTTGCCCTCCAAATATGGAAACATTTTTATCCATTCACAGAAGTAATTCAAATCTAATGAGAATTAACTTTATGATCCGAGGATCATTTATCTTTCATATCTAAATGGCAATTTTACTGTAACCCCAACAAGTGCTGACTACAGTATGAACTCACTAGCCAGGACCCAGGTGGGTGGGAGGGGAGAGAAAGGAAGAGAAAGAGCACAGAGCTGACACACTCACCACTGGGCAGCTCTAGGAATTCTTCAAAGTTTAACTTGAATTCAACAATTTGACATATTCTGCACACGCTGGAATGCTATGTTAAGAGAGTAAATCAAGATC